TCAGAACTGGCAATTATTTTATTTCACACACTCACTCAATTTTGTATTTTTCACGTCTGGGTTTAAAGCTACCTACCCTGCAATTGCACACTTTGGAAAATGAGGAAGAATAATATGACTCCTCTGAAAAAAATAAGGATTCAACAGGTAAGAAGACATTTGCCAAGCAAAATGGAAATATAAAATATAGTACAGTATATTATCTGAAAACTACTTCACACAAATACCTAAATAGTGTCTATATTATAAAATATTTTATATCTACAACCTCTTACGATGCATTAATAATGCAAACATTCAACATTTAAAAATACTTTGAAAGTCATCAATTCAGAAAGAAAAAAAAACTGGACCTAGCCTCTAAGGTTTCATTAGGAGAGACTCTTGATGGTGAAATTGCCACAAATACTACTTGTACCTGGTACAGGGGCAAAAATATTCACTCTCCCCAGACTTTCATATTTTATTGTGCTACAATATGGAATCACAATGTATTTACTTAGGATTTTGTGCCATTGATCCAAACAAAACACTATCACTATCATGTCAAAGTGAAAACAAAATTCCAAAGATTATCCTAAATGAATAAGAAATACAAAACATAAAATAACTGATTAAATAAGTATTAAGCCCCTTTTCTATGGCACACATACTGTAGTTAGGCTCTGGTGCATCCATTTTCCTTAGAAAGTCATATAATTGAGTGGAATTAAGGTATTTCACATGAATTTAGGTTAAATACAGCTGATCAGTACAGCTCCCAAAAATCAATGTCATGAAGACAAATGAACATTCAAAGCAAATATGGGATAGAGTTGTTGAAAAGCTCTAATCAGGGGAAGAGTGTAACATAATCTCCAAGGCACGGAATATTCCCCAAAGCACAATTAAGTATATTATAAAAAAATCCTTAAAAACCGATTATCCAGGTGAGAATGGGCACTGGTCAAGTAGGCCACCAAGTGGCCTAAGAGAATTCTAAAGGAATTACAGTCTTCCCTGGCTGAGATGGGAGAAACTGTGTATAAGACAATAACTTCCCAAGTGCTTCACGAGTTTGGGCTTCATGGGACAGTGGTAAAAAATCTCACATAATCCCTTGTTCAAAAAAAAATCTCACATAAAGTCTCAACAACACTTTGCCAGAAGGCATGTCTAGACTGAGAAAACAGTGAAAGAAGTTTCTATGGTCTGACGAGACCTAAATTGACCTTTTTGGCCTCAACGCCAATTGCTATGTTTGGTGCAAGCTGAACACCGCACATCATCCTGAGAACACCATCTCTACCATGAAGCGTGGTGGTGGAGCATCATGCTATGGCAAAACTTCACTGAAAGCCTTCTGCAGTCTGAAAGAGACAGGGGACTTCAGAGAAGATTTATCTTCCAGTAGTACAATGACCCAACACATACAGCTTGAGTCTAACACTGGAGTGGCTTAAAAACAAAAAAGTCTATGTTTTCGTCAAAGCCTGAATCTCAATCCAATTAGAAGTCTGTGGCAGGATTGGAAATTGCAGTTCAACAATGGTCCTCATCTAACTTGAGGTAACCTGAGCAGTTTTGTAAAGAAGCATAAAAAATAGCAGTGTCCAGATGTGCAAAGCTAGTAGAGACTTATCTAATTAGACTCAGGGCTGTGATTCCTGCCAAATGGTACCTGTACCATAAATTCAAAGGGGAAAACACTTTGGCAATCAGTTATTTTCTTCTTTATATTTACAGTACCAGTAGCCACATCACTCTGCAACTCACAACTGGCAACCCACTGCAGCAAAGCAGGTGTGAGCCTGGTCAGTA